GTTCTCATATATTCTCTACGTCCTCTAATCACATGTTCTACTCACTATATTTCGTGTCTGTTTTTCATTCTTCTCACGCTCTTTTCTCGTATGTTCTTCATAGTCTCTTTTCATATGATATCAGCTAGCGTGTCCGTTCACTGTGTCTTTTCTCTTTGCAATATGTCATCCACTAGGTTATTAAGTGGTAGTTGGTACATCTCTATTCGGTTTTTTAAATATGTGTTCTTGTCAGCTTCCCTCTCGTTCAATCAGTCTTTTTCTTTCATTCTGCTTTATTCGTTTCTTCTCACACATGTCAAATATGTTTGGATTTTGCTGCAGGCTAGAGAACACTCACACCACCGTTTCTGGGTTTTTGAAAAATAGCAGGGCTGAGCCCACCCTGCTAAAAAATCCTGGCTACGCCGCTATTTAAACTATTTAACAGATCATCCGTGTCACTTGCGTTCACTGGCATCTTTCGTTCACATATACGATTATATACATATATGAACCAATCAAGTTTTTTCCTGTGGCGAAATATACACACTCTATACCATATATAGGGTGTGATTATTCTTATCTTATCTGTTCAACTACCGATGCGAATTGCTTTGGTTGAGAAATAATTTTTTAGCTACGGTATTAATTTTTAATTTATTAATCCGATGTCCTTCAAAAGTGATCTTCCATCGAATGAATGTGAAACAGTTTATGAATCCTCAACTAGTCGTTGTTGGATCTGGAATCATTTTCTATCCTCTGATGAATCATCTCTTCTCTTTAGGCAAATATCTGATTTAGAATTAGAACATCATCCACCTATTTTTATTTTTGGTCGTGCAGCAAATCTACAACGTTCTGTAGGTTTTTACAGTGATACCAGTCACGGTTATGCGTATACAAATCAGATTACAAAATCTCAACCATTAGCTCCATTCTTATTGGATTTATTAGAAAAAGTTAATAACGTCTTGAAAACAAATTTTAATGGAATTTTAATTAATTCTTATGAAAATGGATGCGAAACAATTGGAGCTCATTCCGACGATGAAAGAGGTTTAGACGATACAGATGGAAATAGACGAGTTGCTTCAATATCATTAGGTATCTAATTGCAGTAAAAATTAGAGATTGTAATGAATAAACAGTGTCTTTGTTTTAGGAGCATCAAGAATTTTTCGAATTCGAAGTAAAAAAGCAAAAAACATTTTATCAAATACTCAAACAGAAGATGGACAGTTATTATTAATGGAAGGACAGTTTCAGAGTGAATGCACACATGAAATACCAAGACAAACAAGAATAAAAGAGAAAAGAATCAGTCTCACATTTAGAAAGCATATCATCTAGAAAAAATATTTGTCATTTTATTTTTTGATGATTTTTGAACATATTGTAAAGAAAAATAGACAAATGTGTTATTTAAAATAAACTTTTCTACCTTCTTCTCTTATCTGTAAGCTTTTTTTACGATTAATTTTAGCAGAAATCATTCTTTTTTCAAATTTTCAATTCAAATTATTTTTAAGATGATGACTCAGTTCATTCCATTTATGGATTCGTCTACCAGTTCGATCACTTCTACCGCATGTAGTATGAATACAGCAACTGGTAACAATAATTCAACTGATTCTCATAGGCGGCAAAGTCCTCAACCTGTTGCTATGTGGAAAACCTATTTGTATCATTTACAAGAACAGGCTCCTCATCCAAAACCTATTCAATGTAAACATCCTGTTCCGAATCGTCCAAAACAATATGGTTTAGAATTTCATGGATTTATTAGTCGACAAGATGTTGAAACATTAATGGCAGATAGTGAAGATGGATCATATTTAGGTACGTTTAACGTCTTTGAAGCTGAATTATTAGACTGTTTAAGTAACCGATGAAACGATTGACTCATCATTAATCCCATATATTAGTTAGTGGATAAATTATTAATTAAACAGAAACATTATAGCTAGTTGTATGAATTTTTTAAAATTATTACGAAAAAATCAGTAAAAAACTAAAAGTCAATTAAAAATAGAAGTGACACACTACTTACTACAATATATCTTATTTATCTATTTAGTTCGTGAATCTCAAAATCCACCAAATTCTTATACTTTGGCTATTAAATTTAATTTTGAAATTAAATATTATAAATTATATTATGATCAATTAAATTCACTTCATTATGTTGGAGAAAAACGTTTTGACTTAATTGAAGATTTAGTTCATGATGGTCTTATATCATTTTATTTGGAATCCAAAGCGAGTGATTATATTGCTTTGATGGCTTGTGATTCAAACTGTTATCAAGAAAGTCCCTATGCACAATATAAAACTCAGCTATTAAATAGACACCAAAGACAACACCAAACATTTCATCAAATTGAAAATAAGGTAAGAATATCAGAGATAGAGACTTTGATGAAAAAGAAGTCTGTCCGATATCAGAGAGTCCTGTACGAAATGTGTATTCTGCAATAGATATTTCTCGACTCATACACAGTTGATCCTTAATGACAATAAGTTTTTTTTCTATCGGATTTTTGTTCTTAATTTTACATAATATCAAAGACTAGTTTGAACTGAGTATCAAGTTCTTTTATACGAATGCTTAGTAATACCATTGTTTTAACAATTCGCGCATCTTAATTTTCTCTTTCATTACTTTTATGTTTAGGATTCGTCATTGAACAGTGCCATTCGTCAATGTGCTCGATCTCATGATTTGAATTATTTAACCGCAACACCACCAAATCAATCACATCATTTATCAAATCAACGTCACAGTACAACAGAATTATTAACATCAATAAAATCTTCATCTTTCTCTCGTAATCATCCAACACCACCACATCTTCAACAACATTCTTCAGCCATGACATCTTCACTGACATCATCAATTGGTCAAACAATTTCTTCAAATAATAAAACATCCTCTTCAACATCTCAACAGTCAAATCCTCTATTTTTTGATCGTATTCTAATAATGCAATCCGAAAAACAACATAATTTTAAACTACATTCGTTTAAAGGACCACATTGGTGTGATTATTGTGCAAATTTCATGTGGGGATTAGTCTCACAGGGTGTCAAATGTTTAGATTGTGGATTTGAAGCACATAAACGTTGTTCAGAAAAAGTACCACAAGATTGCGTAAGTAATTAATTTTGATAGTGAGGTAATGAAGTACAGAACTGCTATAAACATGATTAACTAATCATAACGTATTTATTTCATTGATATTTCGACAGAATCCTTAACTGCTCTTTCTCCTAACTTTATAATTAATTTTGTTTAGAGGAAAAAGAAAACCTAAAACAAAATATCTTCTGTTGTGTTTGTTCGGACGAAATACGACGTATACATTTTTTAAACGAGATCTGTAAAAAAAAATTTGATCGTTCGATCTTTAAGCAACATCCCGATTAGTTATATGCCCAAGGGGAGAAATGGCAAATGTATCCATTTCGGAATACGTCTATTCTGGAATGGCATTCCATTTTTTAGAAGCGCCCGAGCTTAGCCGTATGTAGGTCAAGATTTAGACTAAAACTAAAAAAATTTCTTTTATTCCAGAGTGGCATTCCAGAAATTGTGTACCCATTTTGGAATACGCTTTTTATCCCTTGTATCTGCCATCCATTTCTGAATTTTATTTTCGAAGTACGAAACTTAAACGGTCGTTTTCTCTCCCTGTAGTTACGTATTCTAAATTATGTATTTGTAGAAGTGACTTAGAACTGAGTTTTTTTTATATTAAAGGTTCCTCAAATGAAATATATTAAGAGTATATTTGGTGTTGATTTAACAACTCTAATCAAAGCTGGTAGTGGTAGTTCATCGAATTCCATCATTCCCATTGTTGTTGATAAATGTATATACGAGATAGAAACACGATCAAAAGCTTTGGATACAGATGGACTCTATCGAATACCCGGCTTTAATGATGTTGTTGAAGAAATTAAATATCAATTTGAAAAAGATTCTGATACAATTGATTTATCCTATCAACGATATCCAGATATACACGCAATTGCTTGTGTTCTTAAATTATATCTCAGGTATGTGCACTTTTCATAAAAGTAGAGAATTTGATCTAAAATATTCTATCTAAGAAATGAATAAAACAGTCGTAAGTTTTTATAGTTTCATCCGATCGTGTTGAAACGAACATTTGCTCTATAAAACTATTCTTTATTTCAACAAAACATTTATATAAAAATGAATGATTATTATATAATTTTTTCTATTAGAAAATGCATTGATATTGATATATGCATTATGAAAAGTTTAAATTCATTTGAGATGTCTCGACATTTGTGTGAATCATTTTTCATTCGCCCGAATAGAAAAGATGACCGTTACGAATGCTAAATCAACATTCATGTGTTTTTCTATTACTCACCTTCTTTTTTGTATAATCTGACAGCAGTCTTTTATCTAGCCTATGACTCGGATGGATGACGCTCACTCGAGGACTGAAAAGTAAAAATTGAAATTTTCCATAAAAAAATTCTTTCTAGCTCTTAGCTTTGTGCAAGAATTGATTTTGTGTTTTGATAGTTTAAGTTTCAGAATGATATAATGGAAATTTGTATCCTTGATTATTGTTCTGATTAAAGTTTAAACCAAAAATTATATTATTGTATAGTTTAATTATAGTTGTACCTATGACCTGGATTTGCCGTATGCGCATATATATGACACATGAGCGAGAAAAAAAATATTTTTGTCAAACCTTTTTCTTCCACATATGACGTCGAATAAACATAAAATGCAGAAGTTAAGCAGTGATATTTTTTAATGTACTAGTTATTCGATAATACTTCTGAATATATACGTAAGGTGTTCAAAAAGTTCTCGAACTGATTTTGTTTTAAAAAAAGCAAAAGGCTTTACAGCGTTGGACTTGTTGCCTGTTAATAGGCCATACAGTCCTCTATCTATAACCATTATGAGGTTTGATCGATCAAACATATTTTTTAGATCACATTGGAACAAGTGGTACAGATTAAATAACACTCAGTATTTTGTTCATAATTTTTTTCTTTTCAGTCCCAAGAGCGAATTTTTCTTTGCAAATGATGGGTTTTGAAATTCTCTACAAAATACATATTGAACGTTTTGCTACAAAATGTAAGAGTAGAACGTTATACAAATAATTGTGAAAAGATTTAAAATGGACAAAACTGTAACGCACGTTTTAGAGTATTCAAGTTTTCTTTTAAAGCACTTGAGCATATGTTAAGATATACTTTGTAGCAAAACGCTCAATATATTTTTGTAGAGAATTTTAAGATGAATCATTTGCAAAAAAGATTTATTGTTCGCATTACAAAGCTTTTTGTAAAAAAAATCAGTCCGTGAACTTTTTGAACACCTTGCGTATGTGCTTGCACCTATGTCAACTGAACAAAAGTTTCTTTTTAACACTAGAACGCCCGTAATGGTCATTTTGACCGTTTTTCGATTTTTATCCTTAATAAAACAAACTGCATACAATTTATTTAAAAATAAATTATGTCATAACTTTTAATTTGTCCCGCAAAAATTATTTTTTGCAGAATTTTTAATTCATTTTTTAATTCAGAACCATGTCCAATTATAAAATTTAAAAAATAAACAGTAATGGTCAAAATGACCGCTTTGGGCGTTTTTGGTCATGAAAATTTCCGGGTAATAGTAAAACATGAAGACACTCACAGACAGCACACAGACAGCCACAGACAGGCCACAGACAGCACACAGACAGCACACAGACAGCCACAGACAGCACACAGACAGCCACAGACAGCACACAGACAGCACACAGACAGCACACAGACAGCCACAGATAGGCCACAGACAGCACACAGATAGCTACACAGACATCCATGGATGTCTGTGCAGTTGTCTGTGGCTGTCTGTGGCCTGTCTGTGGCTGTCTGTGGGTGTCTTCATGTTTTACTATTACCCAAAATTTCCGGGTGTTCTAGTGTTAAGTAGTTAAAAGGAAAAGATAATAGTTATAATAAAATTGATTTCACAACGATTGAATGATGTAAATCGAACTGGTAATAATCTGTTTGATAAATCAGTCATTAATACACGTCTAGTTGCTAAAAACGAGAATTACTTACCTTTATCGCTGTCGTCCACAGCAAAGACTTGGTCGGAACAACTTTGTTATATGGTATTCTGTATCATATCCTGAGCTTCTGAATGAGCCAAATAAAGGTGGATTTTGTTACATATGTCGCGATTATTGAAAGCACTTTATATCACCTTATCGAGAAATGAAACAATTTGCAAAAGGAGTATATGTTTTTCAACCATTTATCAACTGAAAGCATGCATCTGGTACAATAGATTCATTTGCTGAAAATCAACAATAGGAATATCATAAAATAGTTTTCCTAATCACAATATTCAACAAAAAAGAGGATCCATCATTCAACAGTTATGTAATCTCAACGATGACGAACGAAAAGAAAATAGAGAAACAATATTTGATCTTATATGTTTTTTGTTTAAATATGAATTTTTTTTACACAACGTTATTTTCACCGCTATTCTATTTATTATCAATTGTGGATCATATTAACAAATAATACTAAAGGACGATCTTAGAAATGAAATAATTGAATGTTATAAAATTAAAAAAGCAGCGAAAAATATCATTATCATTTTTCAAAGTTTTTTTGTATTCTATTTACTATCGTTTCATTTGTAAAAAATATGAACATTACATTCGAATGAGAAAAAAAATTAGTAAATTGTTTGATAGAGAAATGATATATCAACTGGTAATTTTTCTTCCTTCTCATCATCTGGAGAATAAAAGCTAGATAAAACACTGTTTGAGAGTAATCACTCATGTAAGCATTTTCATTATGAATGAAATGTTTCAGGTTATGTGTTAAAGGTATATATAGAGGAATATGACATGCATTTGTTTTATACATGATAAGTTAACTTGTTTTTTTCCGTATAACTGTAACAGAATGTTTTTATGTGATATAACTAAAACTAGACATGAGTTTTTTTTATGTCCTTCTAATGTGGGCGGCAGATTCAACGATGCTTGAAGTCATACTTTCTCCCTATAATAGCTCGTCAGCTTAAATATAATTCCTCTTGTGACTCATTTTTTGTTGTTTTTTTATGACAAAAAAATGATACCACGCATGAGAGGCTTTTGAAATTTAGTAGATTATGCTAGTGTTTTTTATTCACAGTTCGTTTTATAGTGCTGTTTAAACGAGCAACGCTTGTGTAAAAACACACATACACTCTTGTTTGTTTTTACGAGCTACTTGTGTATAATACTATTATTATCATCAATACAGACAAATGGAACCAAACATGAGTTCAAAAACATCAAAACATTTTTTAAAAGTTAAACAAGACATGATGCATTTTCTTAAAGGTGGTGAAACAAATGATCAAGGTAGTCCACATCATGGTCATCATCAACATAATCAACATAAACATCATCATCATCATCATCATCAGCATCACCATCGTCAACGACATTTTTAAAATGTATTACACAAGAAGCTCAATATTAAATGGAATTAGTTATAGATTATGAGAAAGAAAACTGAGACTTATATTATTATTAGTTGTTAGTGTTTGTGTAATAAACTATAAGATTATTATAAATTTATATAAAATTTATCCCTAATCATTGTTATGTGAGAGAGTTTATAGATATGTATATTTAATTGTTTTCTTCAATCATCTTATATATATCGGAATAGGTTTGAAAAGGATATATTTGTCTCGTTTTTTAACAAGTAAAATATACTGATATATTTAGCTTAAAAATTTGATTAATAAACAAATAAATAATGTCATTAATTATATATTTCGATTAAGATAACGTTAGAGGAGTTTTTTGTTTTTTCCAATATCAATGCACAGCTTAACGTACAGAGCTTCTCTGACCAAAGGCATACCTACTGGGGGGGGGGGGGGGGGGTGGGGGCGCGGTGGCTACCCCCTACTTTCAGAAAAGTTTCTGTTTTGTGTCTTTTGCTCTTCAAAAAACCATCTTTTTCGGAAGAACCACCCCTCTGCTGTGAGATGCTAGATACGCCCTTACCTTTGACTACTTTGTCTCAAAATCACAACGTCTACTGTTCAAATATAATATTTGCATAATTATAGTTTAAAAGTTTTTAGTTATAGTTTTTCCACTTCAATAGTCGAATGAACAGTGCAATCATCAAGCACTTAATAAAATGTTCATTTAAAACTTTAAATGGTTTGTTAATATTGTTTTTTTTCTTCTCAAAACAAGAAGAAACTTGATAACAATATATCTGTATGATAGTTAGAAATGTTTTTTCAATAGTGTCAAAATATTTTAAGATAAATAAAACTAAATTATGAGCTTTACAAGATCAGTTGTCATACTCATATCTATGAGAAAAAAAGAACATCAAGTTAGTTTATCAAATTTGAAAGATATGAATCAGATTAAAACAATGAAAAATTATTATTATTTTTTACTCATTATTGCTAAAGACTATTAGAACAAACGATTATTTATTTTAAATTTAAAATTTTATTTATTTTTTTACTCTTATCGTTATATTGTTACAACTATTCTACTTGATTACTGTATGTTTTGTTTTATTTTTATTTCTAGGCAATTACCCATTCCATTAATTACATTTGATGTTCATACTCAACTTCTTGAACATATGCAACAACAATCATCTATTCCATTATCATCTCGAATTCAAACATTAAAACAAATTCTTCGTAAATTACCACCCGCTCATTTTCATACATTAAAATTGTTATGTGAACATTTATTAAAAGTTAGTCAACATTCAAACAAAAATCAAATGTCTATCGATAATTTGGCTATTGTTTTTACACCGACTATAATGCGTTCAGAAAATCCAGATCCTCTCATTGCATTAAAAAATTCAAAATGTGAACAAAGATTATTAGAATTATTAATTGAATATTGTCATGATTTATTTATACCTTAAATAAGATGAAAAAACAACAACAAACGTTTTATATAATCAGTATTCTCTTTAGACAACGTGACATATCTTTTTCTTGATATTAATTCGATGTGTGTACGCACTTGTCTCGTTCCATTCCAAAAATTATTTAGAATCACAATTAGAGATTTTTACGAGCCAAGTCACGGGTTTTTTCGACCTTTAAGATAAAGTGCACAATTTGAAAGAAAGAAAAAACCAAAAAAGATTTTTTCAGTACATCAAAATATAAGAGTAAGTATTTTGCTATAAAAAAGATAAATGGTCGTGCTCTAAGTATTCTGTATTTGTTCTAAGAGTGTCTTCCATGGAGAGAACTTTATTTCCGAATGAGCACAGAATCACAAACAAAAATCATATAGAGATCATCAATATCTTGTCTTGTAGAAAAATCTGTATTCTGCACTATTTCTAGCACGTCAAAAAATACGTTTACTAGTCAGATTTTAAAGATTCACAACAAAATTTAAAATAAAATATAAAATAGACTCATAGCATTCCTAATCTCGATCATTAAAAATAAAATGAGTAGAATAAATGACTAGATGTTGTTTTATTTTCAATATCTTAAAACTTAATAAACATTAAAAAATTCATTATTATATGGTATTTGACAGTCAGTTTCTTTTTTCATATAATAGTTCTCTCTTCCTTGAATTCGGGCATTCTCCAAGTGAAAGTTAGAATGGTATTAATATTAATATATTTATTTTTTTCAATTAACATTTTTTGTTTTTAATATTCTTCAACTGTTTGGGATTTTCTTTTCTTATAGTCAGATTTGTTCTATTATATACTCAGGAATATTTTCGCTACTTAGATTTATTATTCTCTCATCCTATATAAATATTTATAGCAAAAAGTGCAATTTATATTTACGATAGAAACGAATGACTAATTAATTACTGAATTTTTGTATGAAGATAAAAAAGCAGAAACTTCCAATTTTTTTGTATTATACATGTTATTATTCTCTAATCATTGTTCTTTTGTAGTCATGTCTATTGTTAACTTATGCTATTTTTTTGTCTATTCGTATTTTTTGTTTTTTGTATACTTTTATCAAAAATAGTCGAACATATTGGGTAATGATATTTAAATTCATATAGATTATCTTCCTTTTCATCAGAAATACTGTCAAACTTTGATTTGACAATGTCATTCTTTGTTATTCAAAAAACAAATAATTATAGCCATTTCTATAAAAAAACAAATAATTATAGCCATTTCTATAGAAAAACACAAACTTTGAAGATTTGTCTAGTTATACAACATTGGAAAAATTTACAGAACCATTTTCGTTTTTTGTTATTTGAATCGATGTCTGACTGCTGTTCATTCTTTCACACAAATACATAATTGTAGACGTCGCGGCATACTTTTCACAAATTTTTTGCACGTTTTAGGTTTGTTTTTCTGATCACATTTTTTTTATAGTAGTCCAAAGATAGTCCAAAGATAGTCCGAAGTGTTCTCTCCATAATGAGAAGTAAGCGAACTCTTAATTTTTCCTAGTTCAGGCGTAGCATCGGATTTTCTAAGAGCCCCATGATCAGTATTTCTTTAGATGTGGTAGCTCCGAAAACGCGTGGAAACATAGGTAATCGACCACGTCGAATCTCATGAAAATATTTGTTTTTCAAAAAAGCTTCAGAAACTTAGTGAAAACCTATATTAGATGAAATAACTCATTTTTACCTGTTTTTCAGTAAAAGCAAAATATTCATAACCCAGTCAAGATCCATCCAAATTATATCAGAAAACAGAGTACATGTTGATATTCTGACATAATTTGGATGTCGCCGCCGCACCGATTCGCCACCGCCGGTCATTTTTTATACGTCGCCGCCGCTGCTACCGGCGCTGCATGCGTGAACATCAAATTGTAGCTCTTGACGAGTTGATTCTAATGGTGAAGGAATTCGGTCTCGATCTAACTTGACGTTCGAGTGGTACTCAATTTACTTGAAAAATTCCTGAAGTGTGACCTCGATTTTCTCCTAAACGCTCCAAAAAATTTTCGAGATTTTTTCAGGATAGAAACTACTTAGTAGTATCTATAACTTTGCCCATTCAACTATCCTCGACACTTTCCATTTTTTTCCCTCAGTTTTCCAGAAAAAAATAGTTTTCTGTTGAAACCTTACTTCATGAAAAGAAAACTGAGCGATTATGACTCTATATTCCTGTTCGGCA